AAATTAGGTTAATTTATAATTAAAGAACCCCCTCTAAATTTTAATTTTGGATCGTTCCGGAACAACAATGGGGACCAATCCAAAATCGAAGAAACGAGCCAAAATATAAAACAAAAGAAAGAAAAATCTGAAACGATCCAAAAAGAAATGGGACAAAATTTTTTTGCCGGGGTTACATCTCTACTAAATACTTGTGGACTCCCCTTCTCTGGTGTGACCCGTTCTCTGCGTCTTGTCATTTCCAGGAAACTTCATCCCCATCGGACAGAAAGTGAATTGGAAAGACAATTTTAGCGCGATGATGGAGGACTTAGAAAATTCAGAATTGGAGCCAAATTACACGGACTTCATTGTCCCCATCTTTGTGTACAGGTAAGCTGCTTGTGGATTGGACGATGCGTCCAGGGCGGGGTTTGGTTGCCAGGAATTAGGAGAATGGCTGATATGAGGGTGTATTTGATGGTGAGATGTTCGTAGCTGGAGGTGAGCATGGGGTTTAGAAGAAACTCTACAGGTTTGGGGTCGGTATTATTTTTGAATCACTGGGAGGAGCCATTGCTGACTAGGACTTTTTCAGTAACATTGATTTCCCTTCACGGAAGTTTCATTGAACACTACCACTAAGCAGGCTCCTCCCCCCTTCAGTCTATCATGAATGCTGCTGCCAGACTCATCCACCTTACCAACCGTGTCTGCAAATCCCTCCACTGACTTCCATCCCCTGCCCCTCTCTGCCAATCCCTCCAGTGGCTCCCACTCGCCCAACGAATAAAATTTGAAATACTAACAGCAACATACAAAGCCATCTACAACTCCGCCCCAACCTACATCACTGACCTCATCTCAAAATATCACCCAAACCGTCCTCTCCGTTCCTCTCAAGACCTCCTGCTCTCAAGCTCTCTCATTACCTCCTCCCATGCTCGCCTCCAGGACTTCTCCAGAGTGTCCCCCATCCTCTTACCCCATTCTGTCCGCCTATCTCCTACGCTGCCCACCTTTAGGCGATCCTTATAAACCCATCTCTTCAGGGAAGCCGATCTCATCTCACCATAACTGCCTTTTAGGTCCTCCAATAACTCAACCCAAACAATTATTACCTTTTGTATCACTGGCCCCTCCTACTAGTTTGTAAGCTCTCACAAGCAGGACACTCCCAACCCTATTGTTCTGATACTGTATTGTACTGTAAATTGTATTGCAACTGTACTGTCTCCTCCATATTGTAAAGCGCTGCACAAATTGTTGGCGCTATATAAATCCTCAATAATAATAATAACATGGATCCAGCTGAGTCCATCACATTTTGAAAATATTTTTATCCTTAGAAGGATTGTTTTTTCCTATAACAAAATATTGGAGAAATGCATTGAAACTATTGTGAAGTTCGTCCTCTACTGCTGATGAGTCCCTGTGACGAGCCATCCACTCACATATTTGTACTTTTCAAGGCTATGTAACCCCGAACTATGAACGTCTCTTATTTGCTCCCTTGTTGTTTGTCAAATAAACCATTGAAAGTGTTTTGTTATATCTGTTCAATGAGGGCAAAATACCTGATGATCTGGCAGAAATCCAGCGAGCTCCTAACTTCCTGCCAGTGCTGCAATCAGTTACATTGTTCTCAGTTATCTCTGAGGACCACAGAACCACACCCCTCTATGTTACAAGTATATAGAATAAGGGCTAGTTCGCACCAGCCCCAGTGCGTTTCGGCCCAATTCTGTCCGGAACGCACTGGATCGCATCCCGGCCGGCTCACTTTGTTTTGGGGTGGGAGGGGGCGTGGCGGTGCATTGAAGTCAAAGGCACCACAGCCACATCCTCCGGCCGCAGTGCGATCCCCCGTACCAGTACGTGCAGCACATCAATGCCTGCCTTCCGGTCCGGTGTGGTCAGAAGAAATTGTGCATGCAGCATTTGTTTTGACCACATTTTTTTTTTACTTACAAAACATATAATTTCTATAAATTCTATAATAAACTTACATTCCTGCACGTATATAGATGTGAAATGGCCTTAAAACGTCTTCTCCAACTTCTATTAATATACATGATGTTCTTCTTCTCTTTTCTAGTGTCAGACAACAGATACCAGATGCAGAAATGCAGGAAGTGAAGAAATTTATGGAAAACTGCGTAAGAATGACAGGTAACGTATTCCCGCGTGAAGATCTTATTTTGGTGACATTGTTCTCCTTTTACTGACATTCGCCTAAAATCAGTGCCGCCGGCTCTTTGGCTCAGTTGGCTTGTGTGTACCTCCGTATGTTCTACTAGAATGTGACCTGGTGGCCATACAACCTCCATTTACGCTGAACCACAAGCTGCAAAGCATGTCTATTGCCTCAGAGCAAAGTTGTAGTCCCATTCCCATCGCACACCTGACTGGTAAGGAAAAACCCCAAGTCTCGGGTGTGTGCAACAACGTTGGCAGATGGCAGCGCAAACTCTGGCAAACATGTTGCCTGAGGAAGGTACCTGATTGTGTTCCGAAATGTTGCCCTACACTGTGAAACCTTTTCATTCAGGTCAATAAAGAGGACTTGGTGTTTAGGACTTTCAGAGTGCCAGGGCAGGGGCGTCCCGAGGGCGGGTGTCACCCGGAGCGGTTACTGAGTGACACCCCACCGTGACATAATTGTGCATGCGCGTGACATAACCACATGTGTGCGTGATGACTTCATGTTGATGCATGCCGGCGACCATCTAGGTGATGGATGCCGGCAGAGAAAAGAGGGGACAGTCACCCAGCGGGATAAGGTATGCCACTGGGTCCCCTCCTCTCTCCCGAAATTGTCGGGCTCTCAGTCCATAACAGAGTGCCAGACTTTTAAGAGGGGGTGACACCAAAATGACTGTCAGTCATTTTGGTGTCACCCGGGTGCGGGCCGCACCCCCCTTGTGATGCCACTGGTGCCAGGGTACCCTTTATTGCTTTATGTGGTCTCTCAGAGTGACTCCTCTTCAGGATTTATTACTCCAATTCCATTTTTCTCCATTGTACGCAGTGTTTGAAGCCCCAAAATGTGTTGGCTTGTTATCTTGGCTTTTTATGATGGAATTAACCCATTTGGACTCTACAAACACTGGTCTCCTATTCTCTCACATCTCCTGGACTCCATAAACACTTTGTGCTTCAGTGTTCTCTAACTGGGGCCTTTGTACTCTTAGAGCCAGCGTTTCTCACCCACATGCCCTTTTCATGGTCTGTCTCCAGTGGGAGCACATTGGCAATATTGGGGGAGTCCCGGCATTTTATTTAGGTCATCGGAATAGACCCCAAAGGGCAATAAAATTAGAACATATAAACCGTAACAAAGAGTCCTTCTGACCCTTTAAAATAAATGTCCAAAAAAGTAAATTGTCCAAATAAAAACATCTAAAAATACTTTGGGGCTCAAGGCCAAAAATAGGGATAGCATTGTAGGCCACTGCTAACTGGGTGTGAAATTTCCAGCATCTGATTGGCAGCTTTACCTGGGGTGGTAAAGCGGCCCAGGTAAAGCGGCCAATCAGATGCTTTATCTGGGCCGCTTTACCACCCCATATGGGGTGGGAGTGCTGCAGCCAGCTGTAGCTGTGGTAGGGAAGAAAATATCACACTGCCATGTCTGGGTCCTAGAGAGGAAGTGACGTCCATGCACATCTTCCCTCCCCTTGTGATGCTAAGTGAAGGAGATGGGCCAGAATTTCCCCAAATATGACTTAATAATAATGAAGATAGAGAAGGTCAGCGGGTCCTCTAACACATGCCCACCCCTAGGCACAGGTCTGCCATGATCACTTAGAAATCTAACATTTGGCTTCCCACAAACGTTGAGATAGTCTCACTGTATTCCTCTTCTCCAGGTATCGTTCCCATCATCGTCCTCACCTTCAAAACCAGAGGAGATTACCTGGACATCGAGAAAAGGTTTAGACTCATGGGGGCGGAGGTGGTGATCGCCATCGAGAACTACACGACGACGAGCAACATCAAAACTCTGGGAAGAACCACAGACATCCTGATGGTGATAGACAGCGCCTTGAGAAACGTCAAGTTCCGCCTGGAACAGCCGAGGAACCCAAGAAGAGAGCGGGTAGAGAGGAAGAAATTCCTGCTCAACTACATCCATCAGACCACCACTTCTTCTGAGACAGTGAAAGAGATAGAAAGAGAAAGAGAGCGAGTACGAGAAAGAACGATACAACTATTGCATTTCAGGGAAGCCAAAAATCCAGCGTGCGAAGTAATGTAACATTCATGTTTGAAGCTCCAACACGTCCTCCTGGTGTTGAAGTTCATCTGCCTCTTCAACATTCTTATTGCCCATTCAGTGTCCCATCATAGCAATAGGCCAATGATATGCAGGGGAAGCTGGGTCTAGCTGCTCTGGAAAATGTACGGTGCGTGTCTATCAGAGCAGAGTGGCATTCGGACTCATCTGCAACCTTTTTGAGAATTTGTAAATGTGATTTTTGGCCTAAAGAAGTAATCAAGTTCTTTTAAACGTAAATGTTTGCAGTGGTGTTACCCCTCGTCTTGCAAGGGTTAACTGCTCGTTTTTCTCCAGGTGCCAGAATACAGAAGATATACTCATCCGATCCTCAGATCTGCTGGTCCACCTCTCTCTTCCTCTGTTCTGGTGGTGATATGTCCCTCGGCGTCCTCAATTCTAATGCAAGGCAATGGACTGCATTATAAAGGATGACATCATGGGTCCTTAGACCGCCGGAGCCTGGGAATGAAGAGGCTGCGGGGTCTCGCAGCCAGATGGGACCGAGGATCAGGTGGGTATATTTCTTTTATTTGACCCCCCTAGACCAAAACGAGCAGTTAAAGGAGAACTATGAGGTGAGTGCTTTTCACTTAGCCTCATATTCTGAGCCGACCTGTGACAATGAGACTGTCACAGGTCGGCTCAGTAGATCGGGAAGTGAGCGAACACATATCGGCGTTCGCTCACTTCTCGATCCTGTCACTGCAGAGAGCCGTGACAAGGGAGGGGCTGGATTCCCCCCTACCCGATTCTCCAGCGCTGACTGGCGGAACGGATGCGGGAGGGGGCGGGTACAGCTGGCTCTGCATCTAGATAGGCAGAGCCAGCTGTCACTCACGCAGCTGGGCGGATCCAGACAGAATTGTCGGGATCCACTTCAGCTGCAGCGTCTCAGTATACCGCAAGCTATAGCCTGCTATATACTGAGCTTTGGGTGACGGGAGGACGCTAGTTTGTGTCCTCCCGTTACCCTTAGGAGAACTATGGGGAAAAGCCCTGACCCCATAGTTCTCCTTTAAGGCTGTGAGGGCGGAGGCGACCCACCTTACCTGACTTTGCTACAGCTCGCGGTATACTGAGCTTAGGGTGACGGGGAGGACGCTAGTTTGTGTCCTCCCGTTACCCTTCGGAGAACTAAGGGGGAAAAGGCCTGACCCCATAGTTCTCTTTTAACCTTATAGAAAGATGTCCAATATTGAATGTTACATATACACAATATATACATGGTTTATTATGTGTTCCTTCTATGGCTCGTTATAAGTAGCAGGGACTGAACTATCTTACACAAGGCTTAGCGTTCGCCACATTTTACACATCATTACATTATCCGCACTGCGGCATGATGCACCACTTTTGAAGCACATGTGCATTTGTTATGGCATTGGCAGTCCTACACTTTCAACCTTGTTTGCCTAAAGTAGTATTGAGCTCTCGCAATAATAACGAATCCCGATCAGACAAATCTACATCGCCCAGAAAAGTAATTCACTACATTTTTGCCCAAGCACTTACAGTCATCGTGTTTCCAAACAGCACCAAATTTCTCAGCTAGGCTTCCCTGAACTTCCTGTCATGTAAAGTTACAAGGGCCAGAGCCATCTCCAGCAGTTAGCTTGAAGACGAGAGATCAAAGGAGGTGCAGAAAATGGGGAGTGCGGAGCGGCTCGTCTGGCTTTGCCTGTGTGCAGGGCCGGATTTGCTCTCTCTGCTGTCCCAAGGCCAGGTTCCTCATCAATGCGCCCCCCTACCCGCCAAACCCCCCCACCCTAATGGAGAATGGGAGACCTGCAGGCTGCATACAATTTCGTCAAGATCACTTGTACAAAACAAGCTGCGGCTTCCCCGCTGTACATTTAGCTCTGCTTGCTAAAAGCCGGACTAAATGTAGAAAACAACTATCCACCCAGCACCCATGATCGTCACCATTCTCTGTCTTATGGAAATGTACCCGATAGGTCTCACCTGGATCACTTGTACAGAACAAGCGGCGGCTTCCCCGCTGTACATTTAGCCCTGCTTGCCCAAAGCCGAGCTATATGTAGAAAACAACTACCCGCCTGGTGCCCGGAACTGCATGTCCCAGTCATCTGGAGATAGGCATTCTACACCCCTGCTGCCCCTCTACTCCCTGCTGCCCCGAAGCCGGGCCTTGGTTGGCCTTGTGGGAAGTCCGGCCCTGCCTGTGTGTTTGTGGAGCTGGCAATCCATTTTTCCTCTGTCTGAGAAAACACGGCCGGCTTCACGTTGTTCCTCGTGTATGGCAGCCCTCAGGGTAGGGCTCACGCATAGGTGGGAATAAGCTTATATAGTTTCCCTTTCAAACTACAGTGAATAGATGTGGACCAGTCCCATAGGAAAGAGGTCGGGATTTCTACTTGAAATGGATTTTCATGCAGCGAGAGTTTCCCGGTATGAAAGCAGACAAAGGAGAATAGACCTTCAAGGTGGGGATACACTGGCTATCTACATCCCCCTGAGCCAGCTAAAACATCTCAGTACATTCTATAGAACAGAAAAAAAAATCAGCGTTATCCTAAATATTGTGCTTGTCAGGGGCGTTGCTGGACCCCGGAAGATTTTAATTGTCCAAGAACTTGGCCCGGAGGTTCTTCCACAAAAACCATCTACCTTGACACACTTCATGGTGGTTGGATGAAGTTGACTAAAGCTGGCCATACAATGGTGGACATGAGTATGGAAGCTCATATGAAAAATCAAAAGATTCGATAACGCCATCGGAGACTGGAGGAAAGTCCGTCGAAATTTTGTTTGGAATTTTACCTTCGATTTTTGGAACAAATGGAGTTTCTCGAATTAAAACCACATTCAATGTTAGAATTTCTTCCCTTCAAGAAAAAATTTCCATCGTGCTTCAATCTTCTTCATCACTGCAGTCAACATTGTTTGTTGATTTGACCTCATTATTTGTTGACGAATGTTCAGAAAATACATGTTTTGAAACAAAATTCTAGTGACGAACGTTAGCTACCCATGAGGATATATCGATATTTGGGGTTCCTAGGACTTAACGTAACTGAGAAAGCCACTTGATAAAACATCCTCAACATTGCAGAACAAGGCCAGTTGATTGTCTATTCCCTGCTGTCTGCAACTGCCCCGGGGAGATTTCCCTTTACTGTTGTTTAACCCCATGACACGAGGAAAAGAAATTGGGGGTGTGGTTGTCACTGTGACAGCAATAAAACTCCTATAGAGGTTCACTCCCTTCTCCACTATAGCAAAAATGTGAAAGTCTTTTCGGTTTCTGGTGTCCCCAATGCTGACATTTCACATCACTTCCTGTCTCAGTGTACAGTGTTATTGAGGCAGGAAATGAGGAGATGCACAAAGTACTAAAAATGCCATGGAGTTCTTCCAAAGAGAAACAAATGCTGGGGATGGAGTTGAGTTTTAACTAATTTCACTTTTTTAACTTCACTTTTGTTGAGGAAAAAAAACAACTCCCTGTGGGGGTTCTATGTACAGTGCAAGGAATTTACCAAACTTTGTTGCAGATTCCTACAATTTTCTGTTCTGAAGAAATAGCTGTTTGTTTCACTACGTCCTTTCCAGACTGATTCCTCAATGGGAGAGTCTGATTCCTCAATGGAAGAGTCTGATTCCTCAATGGGAGAGTCTGATTCCTCAATGGGAGAGTCTGATTCCTCAATGGGAGAGTCTGATTCCTCAATGGGAGAGTCTGATTCCTCAATGGGAGAGTCTGATTCCTCAATGGGAGAGTCTGATTCCTCAATGGGAGAGTCTGATTCCTCAATGGGAGAGTCTGATTCCTCAATGGAAGAGTCTGATTCCTCAATGGGAGAGTCTGATTCCTCAATGGGAGAGTCTGATTCCTCAATGGCAGAGTCTGATTTCTAAATGAGAGGGGTCTGATTCCTGAATGGGTGGGGTCTATTTCCTCAGTGGGAGGGGTCTATTTCCTCAGTGGGAGGGGTCTAATTCAATATAAGCTAGGGATGCACTGATACTAGTATCGATGCCATAGTCGCCCAAATGCTCCCGATGCCTATCCTAATACTGGAACTTCCGGTATCAGGAAGCCAGGCAACAAGTTTTTATGCACTGCCCGGCTTCCTGATTGGCCAGGAAGCCGGGCGGTGTGCAATGACTCGCCGCCATGCCACCTGGTGACAAGGTAGCATGGAGCCGGCTTCCCGACCGATCAGAAAGCTGGGCGCCGAGCAATGACTTGCCGCCCGGCTTCCTGATTGGTTGGGAAGCGGGCCAGTCAGTAGGCTAGGCAGCGAGTCATTACCTGCCCCCCGGCTTCCTGATTGGACAATTGCAGATTAAAATTGGGAGGTAATTTTATTACCATGAAATGTAATAATTTTATATGTTGTATTATTTTTTAATGGAAATTTCCTTTAACTCCAGGCCCGCCAGACAAGTATGAAAAACTCAAAGGAATGTAGCTCTGTGTTAATTAATACATCATAAAATGTATTGTGTTTTTTAATGCAACCAGTGTGAATACCTGAATGTGATTTGGTATCAGCCTCTTAGTCTGGGATCCGGTCAGGATGGGGAGTGTAAGCTTAGTGTTGGGTTGACAGAAATGGTGTTGTGTTGGATCATTGGATGTATGACAGAATCTGTATGTGTCCAATGAGCTGGTTTTATGCAGTTAGTGTCTGTTGTTAAGGGTATTCTACACAAGTTACCAATAGCTGAAACATGTTAGAACGACAGCCATAACAGTGTAATATAAAGGTCTGGACTCTGAAGGGGCCAATCCACAAGCTGCAGGCAGGAAATGCCAGCTAATGGCTTTTGTGAAAGTCTGTATGCTGACCAATTGAATCTTCTACTCGTACATTGTCTATCACTGTCTGGATCTAAACAGGCCATGATGGCTGGTGTAGACAGAACCAGGGCCGGCTTTCCCACAAGGCCAACCAAGGCCCGGCCTCGGGGCTGCAGGGAATAGAGGGGCAGTAGGGGTGTGGAATTCCTAT